TCTACCTCAGGTAGATGTTCAGCTCATACGCCTGTCTTTTGTTTGGCTGGAAGCCACAGGTGTGGGTTCAATTCCAGACCTGAAGGGCAAGTAGAGAACCACCCTTTGGCAATCCAGTTTTCTTGCAAGGAGAAGAAAAGGAAACCCTGGTCCAGAGCAGTGACTTTACAAAGCACTGGGGAGGAAGAAGGGTGAAACTGCTCAGGTCGGAACTGCTTCCGGAAATGTCAATATTCTTGAAATAAGGGGCGTGACTTTTGCCTGCAGTTTTCTGGGGTGACCTGCAGAAGGAGCCCTGTTTGAACCTGACCCTCTGGCCGACTCCCTGTCATCCAGGTACATCATGCAGCATGTAGACTTAGGTGGAATCTTCAGGTCTTCATCGTCAGCTTCAAATAATAAATGGCAAACGAAGACAGCTCCACACTTGCGCCCACGCACCCTGTGGGTGCACATTCTGAGAACCTAAATACCACACCATTTTTGAGGCAGCCTTTCAAAGCTCTGAGAATTCATAGTCAAGACGGAAGCTTATGAAGAAAGTAAAGCAATATGATGATATTCTTCCTGGAGTCGCCCACGGCAACGTGTGGGTGAACATGAGAAGGAGTTTTTTCCCTAAGCCATTGCTTTGCTTGCAAAGCTGCTGTGAATCTTAAAGACTAAAAACTAAAGGGAAATACGAATTTTCTCAGATTCACTGTGCCTTAAGCTTGTGTTCAAGGCCATCTTGAACTTTTAATAAAGGTTCAAGTATCAAATGCTTTTAGTAATTTCACAGAATCATGAAACAAGCAAAGTTCCCTTGGAGAGTGTTTTCTATTGTTGTTATGTGCCCTGGAGTCATCTCCAACTCATAGCAACCCTATGTACAACAGAATGAAACACTGCCTGGTCCATGTTTCCTGTAGCCATTGCTATTTCCTGTTTCACCACCTGACTGTTAGGTACCATAAAGGTGAATGGAGAAATTGCCAGGAAACTAAAATTCCATGACATGTGGAAGCATCTAGAGATTTCCATGTTAAATAGGATACAGTGTTGGTTCTCTAGAGGAGCTCTGATAGCATAGTGCCTAAGGCACTTGACTGTTAACCAGAAGGCTGGCGGTTCAAACCCACCAGCTACTACTCAGAAGGAAGGGTAGGCAATATACTTCCATAGTGATACCACCTTGGAAACCCAAGGAGGGGTCGCTATGAGTTGGGTCCAAGTCGATGGCACATAACAAGCACAACAACAGTGCTGCTCTAACAGAAAACAGCACAAATGGGTGCCTTGAACAAACAGGAATGAAAAATTCATTCTCTTGCAGTTTACTTGGCTAGAAGTCCAAGTTCAAAGTGCCAGCTCTGGGGGCTGGGTGAAACCCCCTCGACCTTGGGCTGCAGCTCTGCCTCTTGGTCCCAGCCCACTTAAGCTGGAGGCTTCTCTTAACTCAGGCAGCTGCTGGCCGCTGAGGCTGACAGACCCAAGGTCGGCGAGGAAAATGGCACAGTTCCAAAATTATCAAGCAGCATGGCAGGCTACTAGTTAAACAGTCCCAAGATTGACAGGCAACATGGCAGGCTGCTGAGTGAAGACTCAGCTACCTGCAGGGTCCAGGTGTGCCAAAAAGCTTCAAGACCTTTCTCAAAGCATCTCCTTATATACTGGGAGCAGACCACATCCCTAAGGCAGCCACTCACCTGCTCACAGTACATTCCACCATGTCTCTCATGGTGGAGAATGTCTCTCATCATGGGGAATAACTACATCCAGTTGCTCAGCCACTCAACCAGGCCAAGTCAAGTTGACACACAACTACCACAGGTGATATGATTTTTTTGGAGCTGATGTTTAGAAAAACCACCATGTGGGAGGCCCTGCCACTAATTTACTTTGTGATCTTGGACAATTGCTATCACATCTTGGGGTCTTGTGTCCTTGTTAGTTAAGAGCAGACTGAAAAAGTCCAAGAAGTTGCTTCCACCGCTAACCTTCTAGCTCCTATAGTTACACCACCAGCTACCACCGAGTTGACTCCAACTCATGGTGACCCCATGTGTGTCGGAGTAGAACTGTGCTCCACAGGGTTTTCAATGGCTGGTTTCTCAGAAGATCGACAGCCCTTTCTTCTGAGGCACAGCTGAGTGGACTTGAACCACTAACCTTTCAGTTAGCACCTGAATGTGTTGACAGTTTGAACCCCCAAGGGACTCTTCCTGTGGTGAATAAAAAAAAAAAATCACTGCCATCGAGTCAATTCCAAGTCATAGCGACCCCTCCTTGGGCTTCCGAGGTGGTAAATCTTTACGGAAGTAGATTGCCCAGTCTTTCTTCCATGGAGTGGCTGGTGGGTTTGAACCACCAGCCTTCTGGTTAGCAGTCAAATGCCTTAGGCACTACACCACCAGAGCTCTCATGGTGATGGAGGCCATGAATACCAATTCCCAGCCACCAGCACATGGTTCTCCTGCTCTCCCTCCAACATGCCAGCTTTGCTTTTGGCCTGTGGTAGCCTGGTCCTTCCTCTGAATTCATCCCACAGGATCTGTATTGTGCCCAGAAATGCATCATTGTTGTTCTTGGGGAATGCTCCTGGCTAGTTTTGGTGACAATTCTTTCTTCTTCCTTTCATTCTTGCCTTAGTTCATTTTCCTCACCTATGTGCTCGGAGTGGCCTGGCTGGGCGTCTTTGGTTTCTCTGCAGTGCCCGTGTTTATGTTCTATAATATATGGTCAACTTGTGAAGTCATCAAGTCACCGCAGACCAATGGGACAGTGAGTGTGGAGCAGATCTGCGTGGATATCCGGCAATATGGTACTCACTTTTAATTCCAATTAATTGTTCTTGTCTCATGCATATGCCCAGGCCTTAATTATCATGTGGGTGTCATTTTAATTGTTACATGTTTCATACCTTCTTCTAATGGAATAGTTTATACTCTTTCCTGAAATATATTCAGTACATAGTAAAAGAAGCTTGGTATAACACACAGCTGCTTTATATTGCAGTTCAATCAAAAACAACTTCTGAGTATCCACTATAAAAACAATTTATCATTTTTGCCTTAATTTCTTTTCAGTTTTATGCCACCCAACTTTCCAGCCAAAATAATATTGCGTAAACTGTATAATTTAAGAAAGTTGCACGTCCAACTCTTTGAACTTTTTTTTAATGACTAATTGCTTACACCTCATGTATACTGAAAAACATAAGCATAAAATCCCAAGGTATTGTAAAGTCATTGGAATACACCCCACAAAAGTCAGCTTTGAGTATTGTAACCTATTTTCTAATGAAGGGGATCTGCACAAGGAGTAACTAAGGGGACCAAAACGCCAAACCCACTGCCATCGAATCAATTCTGACTCGCAGCGTCCCTAGAGGACAGAGTAGAGCTGCTTCACAGGGTTTCCAAGGTTGTCAGTCTTTGCAGAAGCCAAGCCCAAACCAAACCCACTGCTATGAAGTGGATTCCGACTCACAGCGCCCCTAGATGACAGAGTGGAACTGCCCCACAGGGTTTCCAAGGCTGTCATCTTTACAGAAGCAGACGCTTCATCTTTCTCCCACAGAGTGGCCTTTTGGTTAGCAGCAGAATGCTTTAACCACTGAACCATCAGAGCTCCTCAACTAAGGGCATAGTTGGTTCCTGTTGACCAGAGAGGCCATTGGATTCTCCTGTCAGTTCATCTGGGACTATTGCTCCCTGCTAAGTGAGGGAGTAAAGGGTTTAATTAGTTCTTCAGGTTGGGATGGTAGAAAATCACATTCTTGATAGAAAAACTGGGGAAAAGAGCTTTTCATTAGAATTGAAGTGATCACTGTCCTTTCAGTGCTTTTCTGGGGAGAGACTGTCATTTCATTGTGGCTTTTTGTCTTTCCTGTGTGGCTTGTCCTCAGTATCTTACCTGACAACATAATCCGAAACTTTCCAAAATCCACCCATCAGACTAATCTCATCTCCTGCAGACCGAGGCTTGATGACGTTATTCTTTAGAATGGATTACAGATAGAGCCAGAGGTTGAATTTTAAATGACTCATACAAACCTAGATGCAGATCATTGCCCTGTTCCTTCAAAATAAAGTGCTAGTGAACCTTTCTCACCAAAATGATTGGTTATCAGTAATTATCGTTTTAAGTCTTCTGCATTTGCTCAACTGGTTATTCTTGAAATTACAGACTTCACTGACTGGGGAACTGCCATTTCCCATTCTTCTGAAGCATCCAGATGAACTTTTGGCCCATGGCAAGGATGGAAAGAATGAGGATTTCCCTTTTTTAATGCCTTTCCCCCACCCCCCTTCCCTATCTCCTGGGAGACAGGTAACTAGAGCTGTGTTTCCTATTTAAGCGCATACCTATGCCTTAAAAAGAGTCCCCGGATGGTGCAAACAGTTAATGCACTTGGCAGCTGACTGCAAAGTTGGTGGTTCAAATGCACTCAGTAGCCTTGGAAAAAAGGCCTGGCAACCTGCTTCTGAAAAAA